TCTCATGGTTGCATGGTATTATTACAAGGCAGAATAATTTGTTGTTGTGTTTCTCATCCACTTCCCTCAAAAACCCCTATCTTAAGTGAATATTAAAATTTTAAGGTTAATCACTCAAAACTTAGGACATTCCAAAATGAAATTGCCATGTTATTTTAATTCACCGCTGATGTGAGCCTATGTATCACAGTAAAGTGATAGAGTCTTTAACCATATGAACAAATTTTTTCCACAAGAATGCTGCCTTTGGTGTGTGAAGGACATAGCTGAAATTGTCCCCAAAAAATCCAGGGAGAGGCTGACATCTGTCATGGAAAATTTCAGCACAATTTGTTAATGTTTAGCAAGTAACTGAGGACGAGGTTTTGTAATGGAAAGAAGTGGTCAGGCCCATAGTTAGTCCAGCTCCACCTCTGAGCACACAGATCTATTGAATATTAAGATTTTCATCATTTCCAAGCTAGAAAGTGAAGAAGTAATTTCTTTCTTCTCAGTTTTGCTTCATCTTCATACAAAATGAACATTAGGCCTGAAGTCCCACATCAACTTTCACAGAGAAAAAAAAAATGCATTTTATATTAACATAACTGCTCTAAACAGATAAGAATATAAGATGCAGACACCTTTACTTACAGGTATTTAGCTTCAGACATTTGAAAGTGTGCCAATTTTCAGACAGCAGGTGTCTGCCTTCTGACAGTCAACCTTTGTTAAAGTGCCTTAAGATCAACACTCAAACTTACTAATCGCTTTTGAGACCTACATCTAAGAAAAGAAAAGAGAGAGAGAGACACTGCCAGTAATTGCAAATCCATCTGTAGAGAGCACCAGATAGAAAAGCCATCATAGTGATTTTACGATGACTCCTCAATCCATCCTCACCTTTTTCATATAATGGGATATCCTTTTTCCATTTGTTCCTTATTTAGCTGTCCTTCATTTCCCATTCTCTCCCTTTTCCTGTGTTTTGGGAGAAACTGAAACTTTGTGATATTGCAGAAACAGCTGTTTTAAACAACAAGGTTAAAGAACCCCAATTAGTGCAGGCTTTGGCTGGATGAACTTGCTGCGTTATCCCATCATTGAACCACCTAAGCCTGGGTACTTGTCCTAGTATTATTTCCATGTTCAAGCTGGCAGGACTGACACTATTGAACAGAGTGATTCATCTCTATGGAACTGAGTACAGACCGTCTCCTTTGTTAAATTCAGTAATGGGCTGAAAGCATTGGTTTATCTACTATTCCAAGACCAAGGATCTGATCTTGGATCCTCCAAGAAGGACTTTACACTAGAGAAATATTTATGAGTATTGAGAAGCACTGATCGTGAACTTTTTTGAAGGCTTCTTTTCCTGCCAAATTTGCTGTAGTGTTGAAGTCCTGTTTGTTTTTGTCATTAAGTCAAGGTGGTTATCAAGCATTCCCTCTCACCCCTGTCTGTTATCTGTAGTGAAGATAGCAGTTGTCATCTGATGATTTATATTCTGCCTGCATTGTAGCAATGATAGGTTTTATTTAGCAAATACCTCCCAATCCAACTGCTAGATTGGTAGAGTTGAGCTATGGGATTGGTAAGAGCTATGATAAAATTAAAGTAATTATAAAATCACAGGACAAAGAAAATTATGTAAATAATGAGCCTAGTCTGCATATCAGGGTTTCATTGTTACCTGCCTTGACTACATCTCTTCAAAAGCTGTCTTGTAGCTTTGTTTCAGTCACCACCAAAAAAACCCTTTTATACAACTGATACAGTAAAAATAAAAGTGGCAGGTGCTTACATTGTCTTGGAGTACAGTAAGAACAAAAGGAAAATCCAGTAATCACCAGTAAGCCAGTGAAATAGCAACATTAGTGCTCCATGGCCATCTGTGGTCATGTTTGTGCTCTTAAATCGGTGCGTGCATGTGTGCACACACAAACCTTACCTTTCTCTGTCTCTCCATCTCTTCTCCCTCTAAATATCGACTAAAAAGAAAGGAAAAGACTAGCCATCATACCTTTTACCAAGAAAAGGTGTCAAAAGTGGTAAAACATAAATAGCCTTTCTGCTTTGACTGACACAGGGAAGATCAAGTGCGTATTAATCACTGACAGACTACTTTGAAGGAATGACAAAGTACTAAATATACACTCACTGTGTATACAATCAACTCTCTGTCAAACAAGTGGAATTCAAAGGTTGGCTAGAAATCATTACATAAACTTCTCCCTAAGTACATCTGAGACTAATGTAGCAGACTCATTCCACTCCCTATAATATACAAGCATGCGGAAAAATATTATAGCTGGAATAATCAACAGCTTTTTAAATATATATATATTTTTTCATTAAAACACTAAAATGTTTACATCTCACCAACGACCAGATTTAAGTCAGCTATATCTTCAAAATTAATGAGATGGCATTTTAAAAGACAATTAATTTCTCCAAGACTACCATCTGGTGTTACAATTGTATTGTCTCCCTGTGTGACTGTTGCATCGGAGTACACAGTTAATGGGCCTGGGCAGAAGTGCTGCTGCTGGATCTTGTAAGGAATGGTGCAAGTGTGTGTTCTTGCTTGAAGGGAAATAGTGCAAACTAAAAATTATTATTTTGCTCTGTAATGAGCATGTCGCGGTATGTATCTGATCCTGCTTGCTTGGGGCTGCTTCGTGGGGCAGATGCTTGCTGCGCTTCTCTGCTCAATTTCACTGATGTAGCCCCATGCACTGAGGCTTCACCTCCAGTCTGTGGCAGATCTCCATTGACTTCCCAATAGCTGGCAAGTTCAGGTGTCTGCCTCGTTTTTCATTTGAGTGAGATTTTTTGTAATTTTATTGTGCTTTCAGACATATTCCTCATTTCTGTTTGGATAAATATTGTGATTATTCTAAAAATCCACATTTTCTAAAAGTATTTTGAGCCCCTGTAAAAAAACATGGAAAAAGGGGCTAGCAATTACACAAAATGTATTTTTCTTCAGAAGAAAGAATTTATTCCATAACAAAATGGAGATGTAGCAATAATTATTCTCCACTCAAATCCTGTGCAGCTGGCTAAATAATACTTCTGTAGCATACAGAAAATTGTAAGTGACCTCAGCATAGCGTTTCAGGTACTGTTTTGCCTTCACCTTGTGCCAGCGAAAGATGCTACCTTTAATAGCAGTTGAAAGAACAGAATGGTTCATTCAAATTCTACAGGGCTATCCTGAATTCTAACCTGTACTTTTTTTCACTGTTAAATTGAAGAAACAATATCACAGTATCATTACAATAGAAACAGGAACTCCCAAGGGTCCCTGAAACACAAAATGAGAAGTCTTAAACTTTCATAATCTGGATTCAGTAACAGTCATAAAAAAGACAAGCTTTTTTCCCCTTACCTTATTTATTCCCATATCTAACCAAGCGTTTATTTTCACTTTTTTGTTCCCTTTTGTTAAATTTATTTGACCAGTTGTAGTTCTGCAGCTCAGCTTGGAGAGTGTATTCTTGGACTTAAGTCAGAATTTTTAGTTACACACTTTTCTATATGAATTTAACTGAGGCTTTTGCAACATTGTAACTTACTTCAAGATCAAACACCAAGATGTGGTATTTGACATTTTGCAAGTCTCATCTTTCCTGAAATCCCCAAATAACACAGCCTTTACAACAGCTGTCCTTGAAGAACTTGATTTGAAGAATGTTAGTTTAAAAGCCAAAGAAAAGTATATTTACACTAGTGTATCTGTTACAGACCAACAACACACTTTTCAGCTGTACCTTGCTCTGAAACTGCTGCTTGTACAAATTCAATATCCTACATTGTTGTTTGTAAAATTTATGCCAGAAATAAGGACTTCAAATTTCATTTACATATTTCCATATACCAAGAGTAATAAAGCATATTAGCAGTTAACCTATCCTATAGAAATATTTTTCTCCAGACCACATCCTGCCTTTTTAGAGTGAAATTTTGCCATGGGAGAAGTACAACATATGCTGTAGAAGCCAAATTGCCACTTTGGACAGCAGGACATTTACTTTTCCTCTCTTCTATTGACTGAAAAAGAATGAAGTTTAAAATCAGATGAAAAAGATCTGTATTTGTGGCTCCTTGTTGACTTACGTTGCTGTTATCAGTGAAATTGACAGCAGATGCCTATGAAAAGATGTTGGAGATACTTGAAAAAAAAAAAGCAATAATGAACCTATGGGACCTCATTTTATACAGGGAACTCCAGCATTTTGTCTTGGTCAATCCTGCTGTGGAACAATGTTGGAGAGAACTGTCAAAGATATGCCTGTTTGGTCATTATTGGTTTTAGATTGCACCTTATATGGGAGAATCAAGACAGCAACACTGCAGGAGGAAGAGGCAGATGCTTTTTTTGTTTGTCTTTGGAAGGGTGACTTCAGTGTCAAAATTAAGAAAGATGAACTTTTAGCTTTGACAAGTCTTCAAGTCTTGAAGACTTTACTCCATGGTTGGGGTTTTTCTCCCTTCTATTCCCTTTTGACAAGTCTGGGTCATCTGCAGGAAAAGTGGAAAAAAAATCTGTGTCTTACTCGTGGAGAGAAAATAAGCCCCTAGAAGATGGCATAAAGGAACACATTAGGGTTCATCTCAATAGTCGAACTCCACATTTTCAAAATGTTTGTTAGAATTCTGGAAGGAGGATACTTGCTAGTGATGTGATGTAAATCCAGAGTTTTCTACAGTTGGCTTATTCCCCTTTCCCAAGAACTGTTATGTGTTAGAGATTATTTTCTCTACAGCAAGTTGCCTCTAAGTGAAATGGTGTAATCTAATATAAATGGCCTTTTTTCCTTTTTTTTTTTATTAGATGTCTATAAAACATGCAGCTCTTTGTGTTTGTGAAGGATTGTGTGTCTGTGTGTCATTACCTGATTTAGATCTGCTTGTTTTGTCCTGTATCTTGAACTGCCTTATCTCTGGAACTGTTTTCACAAACTCTTAACTCTTTTTCTTTCGCATCTCCTTCCTGGATTTGCTGCTTCCTTCAGCCTCACCTCAAGGTCAGTATTCACTTTTAATAAGGGTGTTTATAAGACTATTGTCTATTCAGCTAAAATTGAGATCTCACAGAAAATTGGACATCAGATTACATGATCTACAAAATAAAAGATCAGAGATTTGATTGTGTCTGTGGGGGAGGATGGGTTGGATAGGGTGCACATTTAGAAGAAACTTGTACTTGAAGGAAAGAATTTATATCAAACCCTGTAAATCAATGTTGTAGTGCACTGGGAAGAAGGGGGAAGACTAACCAATGAAGCCTTTCAAGGAAAAAAAACTACAGGAACAGAAAGCTGAAGCAGGGCAGTTTAAATATTATTGGTTTTATCTGTTACTTCAAGAAGAAAAAAGATTGAACTTAGCCATATTCTCTCATACATGCTGTTGAGTTCAAAACTAGTTCCTTTAAAATACTAGTCATCCATACTTTAACTGTTGGATTTTTATCATTGCGTCTGTGTTTGAAACCTTGTAGTGATGTTGCAGAACTAGTTTTGGTGCAGTTTGAGTGTATTGTGCTGTCAGAAAGAACCAAGGGCTGGGGGTTAAAGATAAGTAAATTAGTAAGAGGATAAATTTGTTGAAGGCACGAAGTGATAAACTATTGGAAAAACCTTACCAAGAGACAACATGTTTTGAAGTCATTCAGCCATGGCTCAATTTTTTATTTTTGTATTTTAAAAGCAGTTGCTAAACATAGATTTTGTGATTTCAATAGAGTAGCTAGGAGTAAGCATCTGTGGTCTATGTAATACAAGTCAGAGTACATGATCTAATGACCCCCAGTTGCCTTAAAAAGGCTCTGAAACCATTTTGGATTCTAGTCTTTGCTGATAAACTCTGTTTGGTAGAAAGCGTCCATGACTCCTGATGGAGGAATGATTATAATTGTTTCAGGCAGCATCTTTGCCCAGAAAGCCACTACTTAATGACTAAAGTTCTGAGTTATCGACCAACATCCGGCTTTTCTATTCCTGATTAACACTGTCAAAAATGTGGTGGTGAGTGGAATCCCATGATGCTGTGATGCTGCTGACGCCTTTAAATTGTGTCAGCGTTCTGACCTTGGTTTGGCACAGACGTTGCACTTGTGGCCTTGGCTGTGTATTTTCCTTCCTCCCACAAACTGGAAAAAGATTGGAAGTTAATCATGTTGTTGTCCATCGATACCTTCCGTATTCAGTGTGTTGTAGTGGCATACTTGTAATTGTTGGGGAGAGGAGGGCTGACCTTGAATGGCCCTCTTTTTTCAGATCCCAAAGAACAGAACTGCCAGGAAGCTTTTCTCCCCTGTGAGCATTCTCCTCTGAAATACACACAGTGTCTTTTCTTGCATGAACAGGACTTCTGTTGGGTAGTCTGTATTTGCCGGTTGCCACCATGAGTGGAGTTTGATGTGCTTTGTCTGGTTGATAAAGTCCTAAATGTTACAGAATCCATCTGTCAAAGATATTTCTGCTTCAATCCATACGGCTATAGGTTTTTATCAATACCTGCACCTACGCTGAAATTTGTGATGAACAAGCGAGGGAACTATTTTTCGGATGTGGTTTTGGTGTGTTTTTTCCGAGACCTGGCATGATTTCTTTTTCCCCAAACAATGTAACCATAACCTCATTTAGAGCATATTGTAAAATTTGGCTAGAAAAGATATGACTGTGGTTTGAGGTGGCCAAGTGTTAGGATCTTTGAAGAGTTTTCTGATAAGACATTAAACAGATTGTCCATTCTGTCCTCATAGTTTCTTAGTGGTTTTATTGATTTTTTTTTTTCCCTCTTTTTTTTTAAAATTGATTGCTATGATGGCTAGTTGCTGAGGTTTTCATATATTTGTTAAAATAAATCAAGAGTGTAAGGGAATACGTGGAATGACTGCTCTTGGAACTACAAAATCCCTGCTGGCCAGAAACACAATGAAAAGATGCTCCTAAGGACAAGCAGGAAAATTACAGGGGTTGCAGTACCACTCATTTTCTTTCCTATGCATTTCAGTGTTTGCCTAATTACCGTTAACTGCAACATACGAAGAAATAGCTGTTCTGTAAAGTTACATTCTACATTGGAAGCTACTGTGGGAGCCATAACTTTATTTTTCTCTTAGTGGTGTAAAGCAGTTATTTTTTTCAGACATCAAAGTAAATGTGTCTTCCTGGAAAAGAACTGAATATGTGAAAAAATGCATTAGGTATGTCTGTCTTCGAGAAACAGGAAGAAATACTCTGAATTATATCTGTTCTCATCAAGAACAGCTTTGCTTTCTGTAATCGGTGCAAAACCTCTGAATTTTGTGATCTGCCTATAAAGCTTTCATCATCTCTCTCCTGTTGATAAACTCAGTGAACCGTAATGTAATAGTGTAAAATGCATCACTGTTGCTGTTATGGCATGTACTTACTGCACAGAAGTCTAAGGGCCTAGAGTGGATGTCATACTGATTCATAGTAAATAAAATAGACTTGGAAGGCATGAGGATTGAAGCAGTTTTCCATAAGGAGTTTTTGCTAAGCATCTCTGTTGATAACAGCTTTACATAAAGAACTACCCAATGCTGAGTTCAAGAGTAAGAAGCCAAATAACACTATTTGGGTGTCGTTACCTGCAGCAGTGAAAAAAATAGAAAAATACCACAAAGTCATATGCTACGGTTCTTTTAAGTGGTTCTTACGTATACGTGTCATAAAAGTTGAGATGGAAAAAAATGAGATGACTGACAAAATCAGATGCTATAGTGAGCAACTGCATACATTTCAAGGAAAGAATGAGCTATGTTGATAAAGCAAAAGCAAGATTTCTAGCTTCAAATTGGGTAACAAACAGTTTAACTGCTTCAATTTATTATTTTTTTTTGATTTTGCTTTAATTTATCACCGTTACTTATATCTTGTCTGCTGAATAACGTTGAACATGCTAATTATCAATAATTTATCTTTGCAGCATAGCACTGGAATGGAAAAATAGCTGGAACTGTAGGACAGGAGGCCTCCCACAGGAGGCTTGTCCTTTAGCGTCCTGCTTTCTACTGACAGATTTTCTAATAGTTTACATCACATGGTTAATTTTACTGTCTGTCATCTTTTGAAGCAAGTAATCCATATATTAAGAGAAATAAATTTTCTGGATTTTTTGCTGTACCAAAGAGAATTTGATGCAATAGGAAGTAATAAAAAAATCACCTCCGCACAGCAAAGTGGCTTGGTGATTAGATGAGTGCAGACCAGTGGCATGAATCCAGATACAAGTCTCTGCTTGAGAGTCCATGTAAAATTAAATGTCAGTGTAGCAACTCATGTGTAGCCTTATAAAATCAAAGTAAAAATAAAATACTAAATCTGAGGGGATTATTTCAGTCCTTTTTCCAGAGTCCTAAATTTGTGTTAAACAGAACACATCTAACCACCAAAGAAGTATTTAAAACATATCATCCTTCTATAAGAAAATGACAGATAACATTGCATAGAAAATTAAGCAAATACAGGAAAATCAGGATACTATTCAATACTAATTAAAAAAAAAAAAAAAAAGCAGAGTACTTAGTTACAGGCATATAGTCTATGGTACCTGTGGGTTTTTCATTGTGATGGAAATATCTGTATACACTGTGCCATATACTATATCTCCAGGAAGATGTGCATCTGAGTACTGAGAAAGTGCCTGGGCTGTCAGGAGAAATTTCACTGGAAGTGTGGCTGGCTCTTCAGTTTCATACCTTCAGGAGACTCTGGTCTTCATTCTGCCACCATGCTGGTCATTAACCACATGAGGAAATGATAAAAATTTCAAGCATGTTGAATCAGCAATGGTTAGTTTTAGCTCAGCAGAGCCAGATACATTATGTTCAAACAAGTTTCCATTTAAATTTCCTTGGTCATCTCTAAAAAATAACAACCTCTAACAGTTGTTTTCTATTTAATATCTTTTTCCTTTAATTCTACTTCGAGCAAAAACGGCTTTATGGAATTCTTTACATTAAAAAGTACTCTGTTTGTGAGAGTTGTCTATTCCTTCTGAGTGAGAAGTAAGTCAAGCACAAGAAGATAGTGGGGAAAGGAAGAAATGAAGGCGTTTGACTTGTTGGCTGTGAAGGTTGGGTGGTGATGAGTAGGGCACAAAATAGAACTGTTTTCTCTAAAACAGGTCACTGGCATAGTCTTTCGAATTTGCTTTAGGTATAGTGATTATCAGAACTTTCTTCCTCCACTCTAAGTGGAATCTGTAGCTTTTCTGTCAAAGGTCCTCTTTTCTTGCCTCATTTCACTGCATCTTAACAAAGCAAAATTATTCACAGCTGTACATCATCTCAGAATTCTCACTTTTCTGCAGTCTTGCATGATCTGATTTCTTTCCTATCACCTGCTGAAATTAATTTAATTATATGAGACCCTGATGAGCTGTTTTTCTTTTTGTGTTATTGCTGTTTTCAGTACATGTATTCACAAAGCATGCAGCTTTCCTGTGGGAATTCGAACCGAGGTAGCATTAGAAGGACACGTGACTGGATATGGCCTTAGGGGGGGATGTTTGTATGTCAACAGTATGCTGTGAAATTTGAAGAGCTCTGACTCAAATGCTCTGAGAGATTAGAAGGAGTCTCTCACAATTTGCTTTTTTCGGATATAACAAAAAAGATGTCTTTTTACCATACTATTTGAAACATCAAAATACAACATTATTTAGAATACATTTTAAAATGTGTCTTTATGTTAATATATCCCAAAGTTAACATTATCTAGCATGTCATCATCAGAAGATTAACTGAAATTATTATTCAAACTTCATGCAACAGTAAACATTTTGACTAACCAATATGTGTCACATCACATTTAGTCAAAGGAATAAAATCTGAAGGTTATTTTTCTTCTTTAGTGGCTAACTTCTGTGTAAAAATTTATCCCACCAAATGGCTAGATTTGTGTTTCTATTAAAACTCTAAAAGCCAGATAAGTATATGGACAGACAGTGAATTTATGTGTCTATGGTAAAATAGTCTTGGTGCAAACGT